TCTGCGCGATAGAACTGCAAGCCTTGAACTACCCTAAACCCGAAACCCTAAACCCTAGCCCTGAACCCTAAACCCTAAACCCTGTGCAGGGTGTTTTTAGGGCAGCTTCAGCTTGATAACCTGTGGAAGGCTTGCGCAGGCTCCGCCCCTCGAGCTGAAATCGGGCACAGGCGCCGACGAACTCGGCCACGCATTTCGCGCGCATGCTCGGCTCAGCTGCCATGATCTTCGATACCTGGTTTAGGGTTTAGGGTTTAGGGTTTAGCTGGCAGTTGGGATGTTCCCGGGAGTCTACTCGGGGGGGTAGGATAATCCCTAAACCCTAAACCCTAAACCCTAAACCCTAGACCCTAGACCCTAAACCCTAGGAAGGACTGTTAGTTTAAGGGGGGAACATCCAAACCTGGCAGTTTCTGAGGGTTCCGGGCTCCAGGGTTGATATTACCCCCCACCCCCCCCCCGGCCCCAAAAAAGAAAACGAAATCTCTAGACCCTACACCCCTGTTAGGGTTTAGGGTTTAGGGTTTAGGGTTTAGGGTTTAGGGTTTAGGGTTTAGGGTTTAGGGTTTAGGGTTTAGGGTTTAGGAGGGGCGGGGGCGGGGGGGGGGGTGGGCTTGTGAGGTTCAGTCCTCTTTTGGGAGACAGCGCCTGCGTGAGGGGAGCCTTTTGACTATGGATCGAGTTTAGGGTTGGGGTCCTCTGGATGGCTTCCATTGACGCAGGTAGCATGCAGCATGGCAACTACAAGTCTAACACAACGTGGTGCAGCTGCTTCTCCGAAACCCTAAACCCTAAACCCTAAACCCTAAAGATCCTAAACCCACTGCCAAACCCGGGAAGCAGCCCCTAAACGTTCATGGGACAGTTCGCCCGAGGTGCCTTACAGTGATCCGTGAAAAAGGGTTTAGAGTTTTGTGTCTTAGGGTTGATACAAGGAGGGGCCCCCTAGTTATAAGTAGAGCTACAAGAGCCCTAAGTTGGGTTATAAGGACCCTAAACTAGGTTATAAGTCCCTTAACTACAGTTAGTATAGCAAGGGGGCCCCCTCCTTGTAGGGTTATGGTTACTTTGGCCACAACCCCGATAAATCCTGAGAAGGTTCCCTTCTCTCGGGCGTCGGCCGGATTCGCGCAGTGCGCGATTGTAGGATGAATGGAACGTGTGCTCGAAAGCTTGGACCATGTGGCAGCATTGTTTGGCAAGCATGTCGAGTACTACACACACGCAGCCCCCTAAATTTAAACCCTAAACAACCCTAAACCTCGTGAATCTTGAACCCTAAACCATAAACCCACAAGCGGGTCGGCTAATTTGCAAGATAGGGGATTCAGGAAGGGGTTGAACTTTCGGGAGACAGGATCTAAAGTTAAGAAAACCCTAAAACCCAAAGTTCAAACCCTAAACACTACACCCTGACCGGGTTTCCCCACCCTATAAGCCCGAAACCGTAAGCCCTAAGCCCTAAGCCCTAAGCCCTAAGCCCTAAGCCCTAAGCCCTAAGCCCTAAGCCCTAAGCCCTAAGCCCTAAACCCTAAACCCTAAACCCTAAACCCTAAACCCTAAACCCTAAACCCTAAACCCTAAACCCTAAACCCTAAACCCTAAACCCTAAACCCTAAACTAATTGGGTTTAGGGCTTGGGGGCCTAGGGACTCGAAGCTCCAGGTCCCGCCACCCCAAAGCCGAGACATTGAGGACGAGACCTGAACTCCTAACAAGAGCCCTAAATCCTCAACCCTCAACCCTCAACCCTCAACCCTCAACCCTCAACCCTCAACCCTAAACCCTAAACCCTAAACCCTAAACCCTAATTGGGTTTAGGGCCTGGGGGCCTAGGGACTCGAAGCTCCAGGTCCCGCCACCCCAAAACCGAGACATTGAGGACGAGACTTGAACTCCTAACAAGAGCCCTAAACCCTCAACCCTCAACCCTCAACCCTCAACCCTAAACCCTAAACCCTAAACCCTAAACCCTAACCCCTGCGCAGTGTCGAGGCGTAAACATCGAACTTCAGGAGTGTTGGACTCTCCCTGGCCCTAAACCCTGAACGTTAAACCCTAAATCCTTTAAACCCTGAACCCTAAACTGTTAACCCCAAACCCTAAACCCTGAGCCCTAAACCCTAAACCCTGGGCCTTAAGTCCAGAGTTTAAGGGGTACTGGGGCTTTTGGGTCCCTTTCCTTTGGCCCTCCTACTCCGCCGCGCCTGAGCCATTCTTCTCGGCGCCGCCACAAGGCCCCCGATGTTTTCCAGGGTTTAGGGTTTAGGGTTTAGGGCTAGGGTTTAGGGTGTAGGGTTTCGGGAAATGTCCACGTACATGTGTCTCGGTGGAGCCGCAAGCGTTGCTCAGGGTGTGCTCCCTGCATTGTGGCATGTACCAGGCAAGCATATGGCTCTTCCTGGCGCCCCTTGTCTGGCAAGTCAGCCAAACTAAGTGAAAAGAATGCCCGGGCATACACCCTAAACTGGAAACAAGTGTATATACAGATACATATACATTATAGTTATATATATATATATGTGACCACACACACACACATATATATATATATATATACATATATACCGGGTTCTTTGTCTTAGTCGAAGAAATTAGGCCTTATTTCAGGAGGAAGGGGTGCTGCATTGAAAGGGTTCACTTGTATTTACTTTGTAGTCGAGGATGGGGGAGGGGCGACCAAGGACGTCATAAAAAGATCAGCAAGCAAGTCAGCACTACGCAGGCAAAACCGGAACACACAAAACATGACATCGGATAAGCTGGGGCAACAAAAGAGGCGGGAAAAGTGAGAAAGCCGACAGCCAAACCCGAAGCCAAAAAGACCCATCCCTCAAAAACTGACTAAGACCCGAAATCCCCCAACCCTAAAGACATTAAACTCTGAAAGCCCTCTCTGCAAGCCCCAATTAAACCACTAAACCAAGAACCAAAACACAAACATCCCAACACACTAATAATAGAAACTCTGGCTGAAAAAAAACAACAACCCTTAAACCACAAGCGCAAGAAACGCATCCCTAAAAAACACAAAAACGGAACACGCATTCACTACATGCCCTGTTAAGAACCTGAAGTAGGACTGGTATCCCAGTAACCATATTGTCATCAGGCCACCCTTTGCACATTCAACTACTTTATAAGAGAGCCTTGAACCCAAAAATGGAGAAACAAAAAGGTACCACTGGGCTCCAGCACCATGGAAATGTTGCACTCCGAGGCTGTCTGATTTGGTTCCAGTTGATTGTCCACATTTGTCTGCCGAACTTTTCAGAATCTCCCTAATCCCTAAACCCTAAACCTTAAGCCCTGAGCTAAGGCTTCCCAGTATGACTTATCCGAATTCGCCTGGTGTTTTCTGAATCCCTCTTTGCCCGGGCTTGCATCCCCCACCCTAAACCCTACACCCTAAACCCCAAACCCCAAACCCTAAACCCTAAAGCATAAAACAAAAACCGCAAGTCTGCCTCGCCGATGCGTAGCCTGTCCAGCGGCCAATCAGATTAGAAGGGCGTGGAAGCCCCGAATCCTATGTTTTAGGGGTTTAGGGTTTAGGGTTTAAAATGAACAACCCCTGAATCCTGTAAACCTTGGGGTCTTAGGGGTTTATGCTTTAGGGTTGAGGGTTTAGGAGTTAAAACGAACCCTAAAAATTGGGGGTCGTAGACCCTGCATACCCAGACCCCTGGGAGGATCCAAAGTAGAACCCCCAAATCGTATCCCATACTACAAGTGGGTCATTCTTGGGAACGGGATCTACTTTTTGGATCCTCCCAGGGGTCTGGGTACTAGAACCCCTAAACCCTAAACCCTAAACGCTTTTAGGGTTCATATGGTCCCCAAGGAAGCCCGGTAGCTTCAATGCGTAGGCCTCTTGTCTTAAGCTATATGCCGCAGGGGAGACCTGAGCCCAATTCCCGAAAGGGCCTGAGACCCTAAAACCGTAAGACCCCACACGGCAACCGGAAATTCTCTCAGCGCTTCTCGCAAAGGTAGAACATGCCCTAGACCCCAACCCTAAACCCTAAACCCTAAACCCTGAACCCCTAAACCCTAAACCCTAAACGCTAAACCCTAAACCCTGAACCCTAAACCCTAAACCCTGAACTCTGAGCCCTAAACCCTAAACCCTAAACCCTAAACCCTAAACCCTAATAATAAACCCTAGACCCTGAGCCCTATCTGAGCCCGAGGCTCAAGAAAACCGAAGCTCGGGGCCGGAATCTGCTGAAGCTCTGGAATCGGAGCTCCCAAAGTGCCAAGATTAAGCTGCAGTTTCCCTCAACCCTATAGGGTTTAAGGCTAAGGTTTAGGGTTTTAGGGTTTAGGGTTTAGGGTTTAGGGTTTAGGGTTTAGGGTTTAGGGTTTAGGGTTTAGGGTTTAGGGTTGAGGGTTCAGGGTTCAGGGTTTAGGGTTTAGGCTTAGGGTTTAGGGTTTAGGGCTTAGGGCTTAGGGCTTAGGGCTTAGGGCTTAGTTGAATCCAAAACGTCGTTTGGGTAGTCGTGCTCATATTCATAAAGGGAAATCTCAGTGGAGAGTCTGGGGTGGGAACCCTAAACCCTACCCCGAATCTTGGGGCGATGGCATGGATCAAACTGGACATCTGCCCTCCACCGATTACTCTTGGCTGCACTTCGGAGGCTAGCAAAAAAAATAAACTTTTAGCTGCCTTATTAAGAAACCCGAATAAACCCAAAAAGGCTAAGGATCTAAAGTTACAGCAAAGCACCACCAAGTACTATACTGAACTTGGAACCCGAGCAAAAATCACAACAATTTGTGCTCTTGCTTCGGAATTCTAGTGCCCCCAAAAATTAAACATTATTTGAAAGTACCCTTAAGATTAACCATCCTCACATGTTAAGGCTTTGGTACGCCCGCCATGATTGCTCGAAGTCTAGGTTCAACACAAACTTGGCTTCAGTCCCTCTGGCGCAGGAGGAGATCTCTAGAAAAACTCCGCTCAGAGCCAGGAGACCGGAAAAACTGGCCTCTCGGCCTCACATCCTCATACGCCGGCATAAAGCTTGCACAAGCCTTGGTACCCCAGTAATATTATAACAAGGCCACCCTTTGTTGGTTGGTTATCTTCTAAGGGAACCTTAAACCAAAAAACAAAAAAGGTACCACTGGGCTGCCAAGAAGCACATCCCAGCTGCTTGCTTGCTCAACCGCGGACTCGACTGCCGCTGGAGGGCATGGAGGGCGCCCGAAGGTGATCCAGCATCGTGCAGACAGCGCCTTGCGCAATACGGCAACGGAAGAGAGCGATGAAGGGGCACCGGAACTGGAGGCTGGCTGCAAGCTTGAGATCATGGATCGGTCGTCATCGTGTAACAGGCCGACGTAGTTGGCCACAGGCCGGTCGAACTCGTGCAGGAAAGTGAGGACGTGGGTTAACAGATCAGACGTCAGCACCCTTTGCCGGCAGAAGTGGATGGCCCACAGAAGCCTATACTCCCCTTAGAAACTTAACAAAAACATTGTTTAAATGTCCTCTTGGTTTTATACAAATAAACATAGAAAATAGTTCCCAAGGGGGATATAGAAGCCGGCTCGCCAACTCTTCTTTGTAGAGCTGCCTACGTCTCCTAACCTCCCGTTCTCTCATGACGGCCGTGCCATCGGCCCGGTCCGCTTGTAAAGCAAGTGGCAACTTCAGCATCTGCCGATGTTGCCTGGACGCATCTTTCTCAGGCTCCATCCTGGTGTGCTCTTCTAGGTTGTCTGGTGTCAGCTGCGTCAATTTCAGGCTTAAGCATTGCATCCTGATCCGCAAAACCGCGGCAGAAACAGTTACAATAAGAGCGACCTGGCAAAGGAAGGGGTTGAGGCTGATGGAAAGAACTTCTTCTGAACTGCTCAAATACAACATTCTGACCCAGGCAAGGCTAGCGTAGGCAGCATAGCGGAGGATCAGCGAGAGAGGCTCCTCAAACAAGGGCACATACATCATGATATTTGCGTAGACCTCCACAAAAGTGTCAGCAATGTCCTGCACGCTTCCAGTCACCAATGTAGGAGAGATCACAAACAGTGGAAGCCAGCTTAAACCTTCGCAGAGCAAATTGCTGCAGCGCGGATCCTCCAAATAATGAGCCGCATAGTGCAAACAGTTCGTCTTCCGCAAGAAGATGCCAAAAGGCAAGAAGGACAAAGCAATGCCCATGTGAATGCTGAGATATGCTCTGATGAACGCGGCAAAGCGGCCAGCATCCTCGAAGTAGGACGCGGCGAAAGCGCCCGAAGCAGTCAGCGGTAAGAAAACGAACACCAAGTCCAGCCGTGCCTGATGCCTCACCGCTGCACTGCAGGACGGCCGCAAGAGCAAAAGCAGCTGCATCCGACCGCTTCCAGCAAGGAAGGCAAGGCGCAGCAAAGGGCCAAAGCAGGGCTTTCCACGTTCACATCTTGGCTGCACTCAGGAGGGTAGCATATAAATTAAACTTTTAGCTGCCTTATTAAGAAACCCCAATAAACCCGAAAAGGGTAAGGATCTAAAGTTACGGTAATAAGTACCACAAAGACATGTTCACATCTAGCTCGTCCAGGCGCTACTATAAGCCAGGCTGCGACTGGAACAGGGTTTAGGGTTTAGGGTTTAGGGTTTAGGGTTTAGGGTTTAGGGTTTAGGGTTTAGGGTTGAAACAGTGCAACACTCTCACACACACACAGAGACTTCCGGAGCTGCATCCCAATCAGACTCCACAGCTTTGCACTAGACCCGGTGAAAATCTCTCTCGAACGCAAATGTGGACCCACGAACCGTTGAAAGAACACCTCACCGAAGCTATACTCAGCTCTCGCATGCATGACGAGCTGTGCAATCACTAAGGATTCCAAGAGACTTGGGCTCGGGACAACCTGACAACTCATGGGGCTCACCCCTAAACCCTAAACCCTAAACCCTAAACCCTAAACCCTCTCATATTTGCTTGAGCTCCATGACCCAGGCAGAGGCTTCCACCTGAAGCCTAGACCCTAAGATGGGTGGGTTTATAAGGGAACCTAACCCCCCCCCCCCCCCCCAAAAGGGAATAAGGGTACTACTGGGCATCCTAGCTTATAGGGTTCGGGATGTGATGGCGCATGAATGTTCCCAAGCCTTTGGCTAACCCAGCGTACTTTGTGTCAAAAACTCGGGCATGCGTCGCACTAAGTCACTAGGTGGCTCCATATGTGCTGCTTGTCTGTTCACCAAGATGCACCCATCGCCATGCAGGATCGGTTGGAGTTTTCTGGAACCAAAGTTTGGGCAACATCTCCGAGAATTATTATCCCAGTTACACCCTATGAGGATGACTAGTAAGGCTTCTGAAGGGCCTCGTGAAGGGCTGTTGGAGTATAAAAGTAGCCCAATCAGGCCACAAAACAAAAAAAAAACCCTGCACCTGCCTTTGGCTGGCGATGCCGACGTCGCTTCTTGCGTTTCGGCCTGCGCGGGCGGATTCGAGGTCGATATGTGTGGGGACCCTAAGCACCCTGCGCAGACCCAAAACATCCTGTACACCGTATACACCTTGTAACAAGACCTATAAACCCCATATACCCTGTGAACCTTAAAAAGAACCCAAAACACCCCATAAACCCTGGAGGCTTGTGAACTTATTCGGCTTCGGGCTTCATGGCTGGGACTTGTGTTTCGCAGGCCTTCAGTGTGGGATTAAGCCCTCCAACCGCAAAGATGCAAATCCCTAAGCTGATAACCCCAAGCCCCTGAAGCGCCAAAGCCCTCCCTCGAGCCTAATTTAGGGTTAGGGTTTAGGGTTAAACCCTAAACCCTAAACCCTGAACCCTAAACCCTAATTCAAGCGCCGGCAGGCCTTGGCTGGCCGTTGGATCACCCCGTCCACTACCCGGACGCCTCGGAGATGAGATGTGCAGGAGCCGCTAAGAAAGTTTGGGGTGGAGGGCTTAGGAAGGCTGGTGGGTGTTCATGCTAGCGCTTCTAACTTCTAACCGGCAGTTCTTCCTGCACCCCTAAACCCTAAACCTATAAACAATACATTTGCATGAGCGTTTTCGGGTTGTAAGGTATTGAACATGCAATCCTTGGAGAGGATGCGACAGTGGGGGGGGGGGGGGGAGCCATGGTTATTTAAGGGGAATTCCTCAGCTAGAACAAGCCTTATGTTGAACTTATTTCGGTTTATTTCGGGCTTATTTTGAGGTTTTGTTCAGGCTTTTTTTTCTTAGGCTATTCCGGGCATATTTGGACTCTATGTCTTCAGCTTTGTTTTGGACAACCGTGAGGTGACCGCCAGCTTGCTGCCTTATTTATGGGCATGGCATCCCTCCCCCCTGCATACCCCACCCCCGGATCCCGTGATTGGGTACCCACAGAACTTAAACATAATTCCAAATCATACGCCCTAAACCCCTAAACCCTAAAACCCCCATAGAGTAGAATACTTCCCAAACTAGGAGTACCCCTGTTTACAGCTCAACTACAGCGGGCAGCCCAGGGTTTGCCGTCAATTCGCACGCAATTGTGAGAGCAGCGGCATCATGCTTTAGCCACGCAGTCTTTCTAGCAACGACATCCCGGCAGGTTTCTCGAAAGCCCCGTGTGCTGAAGTTGCGGGCATCACAGCGATGGGCACGGCAAAGTGGAATTTCTTGTAGGCACATGTGCCGCGTGGCAGCGGACTTGCGAGCTCACGTTGGGCCGCGCGCCAAAATGAAGCGGTTCGCCGGGAAGCCAGCAGTCGTGCCGAACTGCAGCAGAAGATGCAGGTGGTGCTCTCCGGGCTGCGTTGGACTCCATAGTCGCGGTCCAGTGCTTCACGCCGCACGCTATGTGGGCCGTGACGAAGTCGCAGAAGGTCGCCCCAAGTGACAGCGCCAAAGCCGGAAGGCTCTGGTAAGTCAAAAGGACGGCCGTGGCGTGAACGCGACACCTGCGACAACTCGAGATCCCGGCGGAGAAAGCTTGCTCCGCCGGGACGTGCGCTATAGGAGTCTACGGGAGAGAGGGTTGTCACTGTGTCATTTTGTCCTGAGGTAGTAAGCATAATAGCATTCCCTTGAAAGGGACCCCCGTTTAGGTTTCTGGGCTTGGGAGAGGGGCGAGCTCAAGAAGTTAAGAAGTAACGCTGATGGACACGCATACATGCGCATGCATATCTACGCGTTTGTGTAAAAGTGTGTATACAAGGGTTTAGGGTTTAGGGTATAGGGTTTAGGGTTATATACAGTTATGCACACGCGTGTTTCCTCTTGCTTGTGGCTTTCGTATATACACGAGTGAACCGCAAAACCTGAACATCCGACAAATTCCCCCCGAGAGCCGAAGTAGCAAGGCACAAGTTTAAGCTGATATTGCATTGTAGGGTTCAGTTTTTTCTTTATTTTTTTTTTTTTTGGGGGGGGGGGGTTAGGGTTTAGTGTTTAGGGTTTAGGGTTTAGGGTTTAGGGATATAGGGCAGAAGCCCAAACCCCCTTCCAGCCTTCGCCTGAGGACCCTAAGCCTACCCGGTAATCGCAGCATTCTGCAACAACCCCCCCCCGAACTCTGCCCCCCCAACCATCTTGGGGCGTATGCTTTTCAGGCATGGAGGGTGTTAGTGTTTAGGGCTTAGGGTTCAGGGTGTCCTTTTTTTAGCGCCATGGGGATTTCAGGGTATATGGTTGCCGGGCTTAGGGCTGTTTAGGGTGTCCTTGGTAGGTGTCTTGGGGCCTTTGGGCTTGGGTGCACTTAGGAGGCTAGCAAGAAATTAAACTTTTAGCTGCCGTATTAAGAAACCCAATAAACTCAAAAAGGCTCAGGATCTAAAGTTACAGCAAAGCCCCAGCAAGTAAACAAAAAGCCCAAACCCCAAACCCTAAACCCTAAACCCCAAACCCTAAACCCCAAACCCGGCTAAAGTTACAGTAAAGCACCACCAAGTGGGAAGCCCTAAACCGTCACCGTCCTCCGGCCGCCGGTGGCAAGGCCTCCCAGGAGCTCCATCTTGGGGACAACTTTTAGGGTTCAGGGTTTAGGGTTTAGGGTTTAGGGTTTAGGGTTTAGGGATTGGGGTTGAGGGTTTAGGGTTTAGGGATTGGGGTTTAGGGTTTAGGGTTTAGGGTTTAGGGTTTAGGGTAGGCTTGCTTGTATCACCCGCAAAGAGCAAGCACATCGACGCAGTGATTGAGGTACATCTCCTTTCTGTACGGTGAGTCTAAGGGTTTAGGGTTTTATATAAGGGGTTTCAGGTTTTTAATCGCCCTGCGTTTTTAGCAATTCAGCAAGGCCATACACTTGCTGTTGGCGTCATTCCTGTTGGAAGTGAACCCCAATAAGCAGAACTTCTGAAAACTGAACATATCTCACAATGAAACCGAGTAAAACACAGGGCCATGAGGCCAGTTCCGTCGCCTACGCCCTACAAGCCCTAAACCCTAGATTACACCCCAAACCCTAAACCCCTAAACCCTTAACCCCCTAGACACAACGGCAGGTTATTCTCCTGGACTGCAGCGTGCCAACGAGATCCGAAATCCGAAGCCCCAAAACTCTAAGTGAGACCCAGAAAGCCCTTCAAACTGGCATTTGATCAAGACAACGGTTTCCATTTTTGCTGTTTTACACCTCCACTTGTCTTTTCTAGATTGTGGCGCCGAGGCCATGTCTTAAATGAACCGCATTGTCTACACTGAACCCTCTAAACCCTATAAACCCTACAAGCCCTCTAAACCCTATCAGCCCTATACACTCTTCAAACCCCATAAGCGCTATAACCCCTCTAAACCCCATAAACCCTTCAAGCCCTGTAAGCCCTAAACCCTAAACCCTAAACCCTATAAGCCTTACCGGGAGAGCCTTCAGCTGCGCGCAGACACGCCGCATGGTGGAAAGGTCCTTGGCTCCACGCGAATCCTTTACTGCCCCGAGTTTAGGGTTTAGGGTTTTGGGTTGAATTAGGGTTTATGATATGTATATATATATAATTAAATTATTTACATATATTTACCTAAGTTTACTTCTATGTAGATATATTTATGTGTACTAACTTGTATTTACTCATTTGTTGCTTATTTATTTCTATTTTACCCCTTTCGGGTTTAAGGCTTAGAGCTACCCCCAACCCCAAGGTATGGCCCACTCAAGTGCACAGCTCGAATCCCCAGTAGTACCAGGGTTTTGGGATATTCGGGTTTAGGATATAGGGGTTTAGGGTTTAGGGTTTAGTGTTTAGGGTTTAGGGGTTTCCGAAATTAGGGGTACCTTATTGGGGGTCCTTATCATGAGGGAAACCTACTACTTCGAGTCTATCTTGGGCGTCCCAAATATTTTCCTAAACCCACCCCATTTCGGGTTTCACAATGTTAGGGTTTATAGGGGGCGGAGGGGGGAGACCGGGGGGGGGGGGGGGGGGCAGACTCCTGAGGCTCCAACTGCCGAAGGCGGACAGACCTGCAACCAACCCTAACTAGACCCGGGAGTAACCCAGGAATAGAAAGGGTACCCTTTTTGGTTTGAAGGTACTCCAGGTCCTTAGCGAGACCCAATTCCCTAAACAATCTTTGGGCTGAGGGGTTTAAGGGGGGGGTTTAGAGACAAACATTAAGTTTTCCTAAAGGGGGCCTTGGGCGCTGGGGGCTTTGGAGCCTGAAGCCCCTCCTCCCCTCCTCCCCCCTGTCCTGTCCCCCCGAGTCCCCCCCTCCCCTTCTTCCTCATAATCAGGGTTTAGGGTTTAGGGTTTAGGGTTTAGGGTTTAGGGTTTAGGGTTTAGGGAAGCTCCCTGTCTCTGAGCTTCGTCGGGGTAGAAGCCTGCGAAAATTGCACTCGGGGGTCTTGAAACACACGGTATGTTGGGTTGTTCGAGCTGCTTGGGCCATGGTTATTTCCTACGGTTTGGGGTTTTTTTTCCGGGGCCACACATCTTTTGGGAGCGTGGGGATGCTTTTGCTTTTTTATCTCCGGAAAAAGTGAGAGACCTTACCCAAAGGCTCCTTTGTAGTACCTTCTTTGGGTAGTATACTAAAATCCCATTTAACTAACCCAAAAAGGAACTACATTAGAGCCTTTAGGTAAACCTTCAACTTCAAACCCTCCCTCGCACTCTGTCGGGGGCCCCGACGTAGCAGTCTTCCTCCTCGGTGAAGCCGCCTGGCCAGGGTGTTGATGGGGAATCCTCCTTGAACCCGAAACCCAAAACCCAAAACCCTGAACCCGAAACCCTCAACCGTAAACCCGGTTGTGAGAGCTTGTTGCCGCAGAAATGGTTTGGGATGTCTGCAAGCCGCGGCTGTAGGAGTTTAGGGTTTCAGTGTTCAGAGTTTAGGGTTTCGGGCTAGGGTTCAGGGTTTCGGGAGATTGTTTTTTAGGGAGTCTGGGTTTGCAGATGAGCGTTGAAGCATCACTGGCTTTCGAGGAGCTGGACGGTTGGGGTTTAGGCTTCAGGGTTTGTAGGGTTTCGGGCTAGTATACTAAGATCCATTTAACTAACCAAAAAGGAACTTCCTTAAAGCCTTTAGGTAGGGTCTCAGGGTCCGATGACAATATAATCTTGGCTGCACTTAGGAGGCTAGCAACAAATTAAACTTTTAGCTGCCTTATTCAGAAACCCAATAAACCCAAAAAGGCTAAGGATCTAAAGTTACCGCAAAGCACCACCAAGCAATTACCTTATTTATAACCCACTTAAAATAACTACCTATGATCCTCCAAGTCGTCGGGGCTTGAGGGGCGGTAGCTAAAACAACCCTAAAGGTGGTAGGGTTTAGGGTTTAGGGTTTAGGGTTTAGGGTTTAGGGTTTAGGGTTTAGGGTTTAGGGCTTAGGGCTTAGGGCTTAGGGCTTAGGGCTTAGGGCTTAGGGCTTAGGCCCTAGGGTTTAGGGTTTAGGGTTTAGGCGGTCTAGGGCGCAGGTTTTAGGGTTGAGGGTTGAAGGTTTAGGGCTCAGGGTGTAGGCACCAAAAACCATGCCATACTAGGGTTCTTGGTACCTAGTCTCGTACCGGTGCTATAAGTGGACCCTCCGCCCTCCGGACTACGATTTTGCGGGGGCCTCCTCTTGTGTTTGGGAGGAGGAGGGGGTGAGTGAAAGGGCGGGCGGGGGGGGGGGGGGGGGGGGTGGGGTTCACCAAAAACAAAAAACCCTAAACCCTAAACCTTAAACCCTAAACCCTAAACCCTAAGGCGGGGTCGTAGATGGGGTGTAGGTAGGCTTTAAGCACGGGAGTTCAGGGTTTCAGGTTTAGGGATTGGAGATTACAGTGGGGTTTATAATTAGCGTTCAATGCCGTGCCTCACTCAAGTTTAGGGTGTTTTGTGTTTATTTTTGCCTTTTGGGAGTTTGGTTCGCCTCAGGAACATCCAAACCACTCTCAGCCCTATAGAAGTTCCACAGGTTCTGAAGACATGCCAGGGCGGACACAGTAGCAGCGCTTGCTTGCAGGCAGGATGCTTCAGCTTGTCCTGTGACAAGAGGCTCTTTAGGATTGTGGTTGGAAGGCGCACCCTAAACCCTAAACCCTAAACCCTAAACCCAAAACCCAAAACCCTAAACCCTAAACACTTTTCTCACTTACAAGTTTCAGGGTTGAGCTGCCTTCTCTCAGGTGTTCCTGAAGTTGCTTGGTTTACCAGGAGTTCCGTTTGCTGGCTCCCTGCCTCCTGAACCCTAAACCCTAAACCCCTAACCCAAATACCCTGTTATCCCTATAACCCCACAGGAAGCAAACGACAACCTCGGGAGTCCCTCTTTACTCATCCAATGCCCTTGACGTGCGAAGCCGTGAATCGTAAACCAATGTGCGCCCCCATCTCTCTAGGATGTGTGTGTGTGGAACCCAAGTATTATCTGTATCTAGGTTCCCAGGGGTTCCCAAGTAACCAAGGAAAAAACGCAAGGTGCCTTGTTGCTGGCTGATGTCATCATAGCTGTAACCACGAGCATGAGAGCCGCGTTTATGGCACCTTCGAAATATTCAGCCTTAAGCCCAAAACAAACCATACCCTAAGGGTCTATGTACCTATATAGTCTGTACCTGGGCCCTAAAGCTGCTCTATGGGAGCCCCTTTAAGGCCCAAGTAGCATACACTATAAATAGGTATAATGGACCCTTAGGGATACTGAAACAACTGCACCGGCCCTGCGGAAGTCCCACCTCGCTCCCTGAAGAAAGAGTTCCCGATTCTTTGCCATCGCGCAACCCTAAACCGCGCTGAATCTTCATGCTCAGCCCACCTGCACAACCGCGTTGGCTTTCCGCAAAGTCCGGAACTTCTCGTTCTTTGGGTCTGCGAGAACCTGACAGCTACAATTAGACTCAACCCCCTCCCCCCCGCCCTCCACCAACTATTGCAAAGTTTGTCTAGAATACTCTCCTTAGAACCAGACAATCAAGATCACATACCATGCCGGTGTAGAACCCAAACAGTGTAAGACCATTGACCCAAGCCTCGAAAAAGTTAGGGTTTAGGAGTTTAGGATTGAGGGTTTAGGGTTGAGGGTTTAGGGTTTAAGTCATCAAAGCAGCCGCTTCAAGAGGACAGAAAAAAAAACAGCCTCGCAAAAAAAAACGGCCGCTCAGATGGGCCAATGATTTTTCATTTCCTCTGCAACAGCCAAAAAGTGGCCGCTTTACGCCTTTTTTGCTCGGATCAAAATGCGGGTTTTTACGGGAGAATGTCGACATAATGTTGACATTTTTCGGGTTCCGTACGGTGTTTGTTTCTTGCAGGAAAAAACACATTTCCGACTGGTGGATCAAAAATCAGGCCAAGCTGCCAGGAAAAAACGATTTCTAAACCGAAATGCGGCCGCTTTACGGGGAAATCCGGATTTCGCAAAGAGGACGCTAAAAAGTTGCCGCGAGTACCTCCAGGTAAACCCTAAACCCTAAACCCGGACCCTAAACCCCAAACCCTAGGAGCGCGCGCCGCCTAGGTGCGAGCGCCGGAAGCGAGAGCTCCAGTTCCCCTATCCAGTTCCTTGACCCACACCCACCCACACACGCACTCTCTCCCAGACCCCTGGGAGGATCCAAAAACAGATCCCCTTAAGGGTTCCTAAGAAATGACCCAATAGTAGTATAGGGTACTATTTGGGGGTTCTATTTTTTGGATCCTCCCAGGGGTCTGGGCTGGTGGACTTTGAAAGCTTGATACGAAGTAGGGTATATATATTTCTGGTACCCCCCAAAAGGACACCAGGTATATACACTCACCAATATTAAAAAGGAACCTTGTATGCACTCACCAGAACAGAACTATAAACCCTGCTTCATATATTTCCATGTGGTATGGACAAGCTGCTTGAAGCCTGTATTCCTAAGTCGAGCCCAGAAGGGGATCTGCTTATGTAGGTCCTCTCAGGGATCTGGGATAGGGTTGGGGCTTGGCACGCCGGATTCATCCACAGGGCTTCGGGTAGAGTCGGCTCAGCAGATCGTGCCTCCGGTGGTTTAGGGGGTTTAGGGGGATTAGCGGGTTTAGGGGGCTTCGGGGGTTGAAGGGGTTTGGGGGGTTTGGGGGGTTGGGGGGTCTAGGTGGTTTTAGTTGAGGCGTTCAGTTGGGATGTTACCCCTTATACTATAACAGTCCTCAATTGGACTTATAGTACACCTACTATAATCCCTCTCAAGGACTGTTAGGAAAAGGGGGAACATCCCAAGAAATTCAGGTTTACGTGCAGGGTTCAGAGGGTGCAAGACCGATTTACTCTTCGGAAGGCTCAAGAAGCCCTACCTTGGCTGCACTTGGGAGGCCGGCAAAAAAATAACTTTTAGCTGCCTTATTAAGAAACCCAATAAACCCAAAAAGGCTAAGGATCTAAAGTTACAGTAAAGCACCACCAAGCTACATGAGCCCTACGGCCCCACGAGGATCTGGCGTTGCTGAAGACCTTGACCATGGTCCGGTGGGCCTCCGCATACTCCTCAGGCCTGGGGCTCTCTCCGCAGACCCGTCCAATACCCTGCAAGCCTGCAACCCCCCCTAACCCCCCCTAACCCCCTAAACCTCCCCCTAATCCCCCCCACCCCTCCCGAAAAGAAAATGAAATAAATAAATAAAATAGACAGCCACACCCACCGAAAACTTGGAGAAGAGACGCGAGACCGGAGAAGACGAAATCGAACCCCTGCATGACAGCACGAGCTTTTTCATCCACATGGACTCTTCATCTTGTTCATCCACTCTAAGGGCAGTTACATGGTCCCTTAGTTTGGGCGCTTAAAAGGGTACCTCCTATTTACCCCTTATATACCCTATACATATTAAGGGCCCATACAAGGGACGTTAGGGACCATATTCAGGGCCCATGATACTAACCTTAGGACCACAGGGACGCTTGGGCTTTTGGGGGCTTCGGGACTCTTCGGCACGATGAGGGTTTATAGGGTTGAGGGCTTAGCGGTCTGCAGGGTTTTGGGGGTTCAGTGCTTCGTTCAGGCTTTAGGGGTTTAGGGGTTTGGGGGTTTTAGACAATCTGCAAAAGTTCAAGCCTTAACCCCGACTTGAAGCAACTCTTTTTGCCTGAAAGAATCTAGTCAACACGTCCCCAATACCCTGAACCCTCCGGTCCCTCAAGACAACCCCATTCACCCTAAATCCCAAACCCCGAAACCCCCAAAACCCTGAACCCTAAGCCCTAAACCCTAAACCCAAATTTGGCCCTAAACCCTAAACCCTAAACCCTAAACCCTAAACCCTAAACCCCTCAGAACCAGGGGGGTTCTGCGTCATAAACCTCAAACCCCTCCCCAAAACCCAAAAACCCTGCCGGGTGCCGGGCTGAAGCTCCTCGCGAGCCAAGCGCAGAGCAGCCTTGATGGCGGCCTGCACAGCTATAGGACAGCCATTAAAGGGTTCTTAAGGGAAGGGGGGGGTTTAGGGTTTAGGGTTTAGGGTGTCTAGGGTTTAGGGTTTAGGGTGAAGGGTTCTTAAGGGAAGGGGGGGTTTAGGGTTTAGGGTTTAGGGTTTATAGGGTTCTTGGCTGCACTCAGGAGGGTAGCTAAACATTAAACCTTTAGCTGCCTTATTGAGAAACCCAATTAACCCAAGTAAGGATCTAAAGTTACAGTAAAGTACCACAAAGGGTTTTTTGGGTTTAGGGTTTATAGGGTTTAGGCTCAACTGGGACAGCTCAGGCTTATAGGGCCTACTACGGTTTTAATGGGTTTAGGGTTGGGGGTTGAGGGGTTTATAGGGTTTGGGGTTTAGGCTTTAGGGTTTAGGGTAGGGGGAGTTCAGGGGCTCAGGGGTTAAGACGTTAAGGGTTTTGGACAGGGCCCAAGGAACCGAGATCCTCAACCCCTAAACCCTAAACCCTAAACCCTAAACTTCAAAAAGCCTCTAAGCCTCGGACCTCAGCCCTAACCTACCCAGCAAGACTGGACCCAAGAGTAACCTAGGGAAAAAAGGTGCCCGTTTTGAATTGAAGGGGTTACAAGAAAACCCATACCCTAAAAATAAGGACCTACTCTGGGTCCTAGAAGAAACGAGGTTGGCCCGTCATGAGCACGAAGACGGGACAAGCACAACAAGAAAACTCAAGCCCGAACCCAAAACCAAAGCGCAAAAGTCCTCAACCCTAGACCCTCTAGCTAGATGGAGTCTCAACTAGGATGGCCCTTAACACCCTCTGAAAAATATTCCTAAATGGGTGGTAGTAAAATCATGGTCCCGGATCCCTATTATAATACGGCACCTAATATTTAGGGTACCCCAAAAGGGATCATAATTTTGACAGCCGCCCAAATATAAGCCTCTTGAACCCAATGGGTGCCCTTTTTTGCTTAAAGGGGCTTATAAGGGAACCTAGAGCCCCCAAAAAGGGAATAAGGGCACTACTGGGCATCCTAGAATAAGGGAAATCTAAAATGCCCTCAGGGCCTACCTAGTCAAGTATATCATAGACACCCATGGCTTGTGCCGTACCGCGGGGTTGAGGCCACTTGGTAACCCTAGGTTGGAGGCTTGGGGTTCAGGGTTTAGGGTTTAGGGTTTAGGGTTTAGGGTTCAGGGTTTAGGGTTTAGGGTTTAGGGTTTAGGCCTAAGTGCTCCAGTAAGCCCAGAGAAGAAGCTCAAGAAGGTGCTGCAAGTAATCCCAAACACTACACCTTAAACCCTAAACCCTAAACCTCAAACCCTACACCCCAAACCTGAAATCGCACCGAATCCTGTTAACTTGCTGACGGCGCTCTGCCTCCAAATCCACGCAGGGATGCTGGTCTTCGAAGCGGTGTCGAATGCAGACCGCCTGGAGCCACGACTCCGGCCGATTCAGCGGTTTAGATTTGCAGAGTTTAGGGGCTAGGGTTCAGGGTTTATAGGGTTCAGGGTTCAGGGTTGAGGGCTTAGGTTTGTCGAGTTTAGGGTTTGGAGCTTTGGGGCTTAAGGTACTAACGATTGCCAGGAACACCCAAGAAACCCTCAGCCCAAAGGCCCGCTACCCGGCCGAGTTCATCACTACCCAAAGGCTCCTATGTAGTACCTTTTTCGGGTAGTATACTGAAATCCCATTTAGCTAACCCAAAAAGGAACTACATTGGAGCCTTTAGGAAGTTCTAACCGGGGTTTCAAAAGTCAAAAGAAATGGAGACCTGGAGTTAACAACTGGTCGCAACCTTGTTGGACCACTTAACACCCGACCTAGTATACGTGAATCCCCTTAACTAGACCCAAAAAAGAACTACATTAGAGCCTAACCCTAAACCCTAAACCCTAAACCCTAAACCCTAAACCCAAAACCCTAAACCCTAGACCCTAGACCCTAGACCCTAGACACCCTAAACCCTAAAGGTCGGTAGCAACCGTCAGGCCCTTGCCTGGCCGCACGTGCGGCACTGCAGGCGATTCTGCGCCTCATTCTTCTGGGGGCCTAAACCCTAAACCCTCTTTGCAGGTTTAGGGTTTAGGGTTTAGGGTTTAGGGTTTAGGGTTTAGGGTTTAGGGTTTAGGGTCTAGGGTCTAGGGTTTAGGGTTGAGGGTTTAGGGTTTAGGGTTTAGGGTTTAGGGTTTAGGGTTTAGGGTTTAGGGTTTAGGGTCTAGGGTTGAGGGTTTAGGGTTGAGGGTTTATGGTTCACCTGAAGGCTCTGATGTAGTTCCTTTTTGGGCTAGCCAAAGGGCTACCCTCAAAAGGTACCTCATCGGAGTCTTTAGATATTCTTTTTACTGGGAAGTCCTTAGGGGCTTTAGCTTCTATAGGGGTTTAGGTTTAGGGTTTTTTGGTTTCAGGCTGGATCCCCCCAAACTTTGGGGTCTAAGGTTTAGGGTTTAGGGTGAATGCTTAGAAGCTTAATGCTACGGATTGGCGTTGGAGCGTGCCCAAGCTAGATAACACCCGCAATCGCCCTAGTTACTGGAAATTCTCCCTGAACCTGGTAACCCCTAAGCATGCTTCTACTCCCTTCTGTTTTGGATGGGTGAGGTTGCTCGCAGCGGGGCTTCGTGTGTGGGGAGTAGGGCGTACATCAACAGTACCAGGAACACAGTTTTGTCGCTCCTGACGATACAACTTCGACGGAGGACAGCAGGGAACCGAAAGAAGGCTCTACCTAAAGGCTCTAATGTAGTTCCTTTTTGGGTTAGTTAAATGGGATTTTAGTATACTACCCGAAAAAGGTACTACATAGGAGCCTTTGGGTAGCCTGGTTAGCGGCAGAAATACTCCATCTTGGTAATTCCGGCGCAGGACCTGTGCTCTGGAAGTCAAGGAGTCTAAGGGGAAGGGGGTTTGTCCTGGCTCCTCTTGCTGCCTATTCTATGAGCGATGAACTAACTGTCGGCCTGCTGCACTAGGGCGCCTTGTATGGTAATGGGAGCACGAAGCCCTGAACCCTCGAACCTTCTGCGCGAGCCCTGTTGTGAGCAACTTTTCTCAGCAAGCTGTACAAATGCAGCTTGAATCAAGGGCTAAAACTATGGGCCCACTGTTTGCTTCAGTCCCTATAAGCATACCTAAATCCTAAACCCTAAACCTAGACTCCATTTATACCTTCAAGGTTTCCTATACTCTCTCCCTCAAAAGGGTAAAGGCCCATACTTTCGGGGCCCACAAACAAATTTGCTTGTTTTGGGGCCCATACTTTGAACCTTTTGATTGGCGAACTGCTGTGGGGTTGGACCACCTTACAGATTGGGAAGCGATGTGCAGGCGAAAACTGCAGCAACTCGCTGCAGGCTAAGAGCCGTGGGCGCAGAGGGCAGTACGCGGGACTTTAGGCTTCTATGCGGCTTAGGGCCGATAACCCTAAACCCTAAACCCTAAACCCCGAACCCTGAACCCTGAACCCAGAACCCTAAACCGCAGCCCTAGGCCAGGCTCTGCTCAATGATCTCGACACAGCGACCCACAGACTCCCCTGCAGTGAGGAGTTTAGGGTTTAGGGTTTAGGGTTTAGGGTTTAGGGATGAGGGATTAGGGCTCGGGGATTAGGAATGAGGGATTAGGGTTTCGGGCTTGGTGATTAGGGTTTAGGGATTATAGGGTTTCGTGTTTAGGGTTTCGGGATTAGGGTCTAGGGATTAGGGATGAGGGTTTAGTAGTTGAGGAGTTTAGGGGGTTAAGGCTCAAGAGCTTGTAGGGTTCGGCGCTTGAGGATGAACTTGTTGGCCTCCGTTAGCGACGCCGCGCGCAAAGTGCACGACACGACTCAACCCAAGGCCCTCGACCCGAAACCCCGAAACTCTACCCAGAGTAACCTCTATGCCTGGAAAAAGGGAAACCCTAAACCCTAAACAGTTACTCGGAAACATGCACACTTTCATCCAGCTGATGGGAGCTTAACACAGCGGCCAATTTGATGAGCCTGGCATCATTTTGGGTAGTTTAGGGTTTAAGGTTAAGGGTTTAGGGTTTATAGGGTATAAGGTTGCAATATACGCAACACAATTACGGGGACAAGTTGGTAAATCTTTAGCTAGACACCAGAATAGCCTGGGAATAAAATGGGTGCCTTTTTTGGTGTACCGGGGCTGGTAAGGAAACCTCAGCCCTAAGGAAAAAATTGCTCACTCTGGCTCATAACATAGCCCTGGGGACGACATGAACCCTAAAATTGAGGGTTTAGGGTTTAGTAATTAGGGTTTAGGGTTTAGAGGTCGTATACCCTATACTACTATCTCCCATTAAGGTCCATATCTTGGGAAATGTGTTTACCTAAAAGGCTCCTGGCTAGTAATTACCTTTTTCGGGTAGTGTAATTGCTAGACCCCGCTAGCGCTAGCCCAAAAGGGAGTTACATTAGAGATTCAAGGTGAACCCTAAACCCTAAACCCCAAACCCTAAACCCTAAACCCCAAACCCTAAACCCCAAACGCTAAACCCTGTTAGGCTCCTGTCTTACATGCCCAGGCCTCGGCCCATGGCGTCAACCAGCGCATCATGGGCCTTGCGCTCGCGCTCGAGAATGGAGACGGTGTTCCTGGTTCTGCTCAAGGGGGCCTTGAGGGTTTAGGGCCCTAAACCCTAAACCCTAAACCCTAAACCCTGCACCCTAAACCCTAAACCCGAAACCTCAAGCCCTAAACCCTAAACCCAAAGCTTAGGGCTCGGAGGTTCCTGACTTTTCTGGAAGTGGGAGACTCCCTTCATCGTGCCTGCTTTGCAAGTGGGTGTACGGTTTAGGGTTTAGGGTTCAGGGTTCAGGGTTCAGGGTTTAGGGCTCAGGAGTTAGGTTTCAAGAGTCGGGTTGCAGTTGAAATAGCCAGGCCTGTGGATGGTTGCTGAGCTCTTGGCCGAAACCCTAAACTTAACTTCTCGAAAACATGGTCCCTTTTCGGTCCTTGTTATAAAGCGGCCCCTCTATTTACAGAAGTGACCATATAGCAGGAGTTGAACAGGCCAAAGCCCTAAAGACCTGAATCCTTTCCATGTGCCCAAGTGTATATTTACCATGCGGGAACCGCTTTAAAAAGTGTATATGATGCGGGTAGTTCTAGCGCCACCTTTTGGGAGGGTCCTTCTTCGACAGGCGCCGTACGATATAGGGAACCCCACAAAAAGGGGCCCGAATTCATAAGAACTACCCATCGATGGCTGGACAGGCCCTTTTCTGGCTGGTTCTTGGTAGGGAAGGAGGGAATGAGGGCCCTATAGAATCCATGAAAGGGTATATGTAGGGGCCCGATAATTCCCTCAATTCCAACCCTAAACCCCAAACCCCAAACCCCAAACCCTAAACCCCTAAGAACCAGGGGTTTCTTTCCGTCTTGCCAAGGCTCATGACATTCGTGCGAAGCAGGACGTTTGTCTGCTGCTGATCGAACTTCAAAGCTCCGAAGAGGGCCTCGCGAATCGGGGCTTCGGGCTATTTTTCTCTTCGAGCTGCCTGTGGACCTTAGAAGAGAGATTTTAAGTACAGCAATGTAAATATAATTAAAAATATACATAATATATACATCTATATATGTATAATATATATATATATATATGGCACGCTGGTACAACTGCTTATTTTTTCAGGGTAGACATGATCACAGTCTACCCCCCCCCCCCAGGTTGGTGGGACTTCGAAAATGTGGACTAACCCACAACAAACTCATTAGAAAATACAAATAACCTAATAAGGTTTTTGTGTTACGATATATAGTTGGGCTTTTTTCGATTTAGGGCTTTTGGGCTCCCAGGGTTGATCTAGGGCATGAAGTTCCTCGGGGCTTAAGGCTCCACAACTTGCTTTGGGGTTTAGGGTTTAGGGTTTAGGGTTTAGTTTCTATCCTGAAACGGCGACAGCAGCAGTCTTCCCCTCCACAACACTCCCTTCAGCCGTGCTTGAGCAGTAGACATCCCGGAATCTAGGCGCGCGTAAACTGAACCCTAAACCCTAAACCCTAAACCCTAAACCCTAAACCCTAAACCCTAAACTCTAAACCCTAATGTATGTGGGCTCATGGCCACATTGCTGAGAAGCAAAGCACTTGAAGGCATCTACATGGTGCTCCATCGGTTGGGAGGCCGTCTTGTACCCCCCAAAACCCTACACAACACCTGTATAAAGTAATCCTTACCTTACGCAAGGGTGTGCTTCTCGAGCAAGAACTAGGGTACAACTTGCATATGAGAGGAAGTCCGGGATTACACAGGCCGCGCGCAGAGGGTTGCGGTTTTCAGGCTTAGGGTTTGCACGGGAACTGTTTGGCGAGGTGAAGCGACACTCCATGTGACTGATAACGCACTGAAGGCTCTAACGCAGCTCCCTTGCTTGGGCTAGCTATAGTTGGGGGGGGGGGGGGGGGGGGGGGGGGGGCGGGTTTCTAGTATACTACTTGGGATTTTCCCCCTTATACTAGGGACTATCATACTGGGTACTAGAATCCCTATTAAGGACTGCTAGTATAAAAGGGAACATCCCAATATACTAGCGCTAAAATTGTACTACCTAAACCCTAAACCCTAAACCCTAAACCCTAAATCGGAGCCTTAGGTACATAAGCAATCTTGTCTTGAGTTTGTGCCTCCAATTGGAGAAGGTCGGACATGCCGCCATTGGCCTGGCATAGGGTTTAGGGTTTAGGGTTTAGGGTTTAGGGTTTCGGGTTTAGGGTTTCGGGTTTAGGGTTTGGGTTTCGAGGCGGCTCACGGGTATGGGGGTGTTGCCGAGAAAGCGCGGTCTGGATATACTTACCTAGATTGATCCATGTCTGTCGCGGGATGTCGTAGCATTGACCGAGATTAACCTTGATGTTGGGGGTAGCTTGGACTTGGCAAAGTCGTCCTGTACTACTAGAAGGGTTTATTCTGTCGACCCTGAAACTAAAACCTCCCAGTAGCCGACGCTTCGTTCCACCCCCTAAACCTCAAATCTTACCTTCAGGTTCCGAAACCAAACTTTTTGCAACTTATACTATTACAAAACACAAACGTGCAAAACATAGGTTTTGGGGTTCTTGAGGTAGCCACTCCCCCCTCCCCCCCTCCACCCACCCCACGGCCTGTCCATAGGTGATGTATTCAGCTGCAATTCCCCCCAGCGCCACCTGCGGTAAGGACAAAAGGGGGAGTTTGCTGTGTAAGGTTTGGGGTTGGCAGTTTCCCCCTTATACAAACAGTCCTTAATAGGGATTCTAGTGCCCCCTATCTCATCCCGACTAAGGACTGCTAGTATAAGGGGGAACATCCCAAGGTTTAGGGTTTTTCAATTCAAGGCTTAGGGTGCTGCTACATGATTTAGGAGCTCAATCCTACTTGCTGCACACCTAAGCTTAGGTACTTTTCCACACGCACACACGTTGCAAAGCGCGCATCCGGCGATTGATCCCGGCAGGTCACTAAGATGCCACCAAGACTCACAAACAAAGTCATCCTCAGCGGGCGGTAGGCAAACAAGAATTGCTCTCTGTTAACCCCTACCACCGAGCCGAATGCTTTCAAAGGAACAGGGGTTCAATCAAGGGGATATCGGCTGTGGTCACACACCCTACTTTTGCTGCATGAGACACTGCTGACCTCCGGCTGTATACACCCAAACCAACCTTATCTCTCAAGCCATGACTAAACGCTCCACTCCCCATATTGGTTTGGGGTGTAGTGCTGTAATGCGCAGATCTGTGAAGGCCAGAAAAAACATGGGATGAGCTTCGGGTGCTTCGGAATATGCGAACCCTAAACCCTAAACCCTAAACCCTAAACACCCTGAAACCCTAAACTGTGGCCGGACTGTGGAGGGATCACACACCATCTCCCACATCCCACGTCGTCTAACGCCGCTAGCCACTCTATTCCATTTCTGTGGGGACCAAATGAACCCTAAAGTTGGGGTGCCGAACCCCCCGAGCCCCCGGCAAGAGTTTTGCCCGAGATCTTCCCAGACTGCACTTCGCGCTGAATTGCCTGGGGACAGAGCCCTAGAGCCTAAGGGCTTCGGGTGTTCGGGTTTAGGGTTTAGGGTTTAGGGTTTAGGGTTTAGGTTTTGGGTTTAGGGCTGGACCCAGGCATGCCACCGAACAGAAGCAGTCGCCTGCCAGTCTCCCCTCGCAGCTGCAAACTCTACGTCTCTGAACCCTGCATGGTAAGCTCAAGGACAAACGGGGTTCAGGGTTCAGCTAGGGTTCTTGTGCAGTTCATATTCGGAGTGTTCATACTTCTATAATATGGTTAGTTAGTACGATATAGCAAGAAAATGTTGTAACCCCCCCGCCCCCCCCGACCCCCCAAAGCAGAAAGAATACAACCTGGGACGGGAGGTTCAGGCAAGCAGCAAGCAGCTCCCCAGTCCCTCCCTAGACCTAAACCTTAAACCCCAAACCACCAACATCCCAACCTCACAAAACCACACGCCCAAGGGGTAGCATTCCTAAACCCTAAACCCTAAACCCTAAACCCCGGGATCTCCCACAGGCTTAGGGTTGGGGGGGAAAAGGGCTGCAAGCCAAGTAGAAGTGATAGACAACAGATAGGCAACGGGTGACCAAGTTAAACTTGCGACTCTCAATCTGAACTCTAGACTCCAAAACATACCCAGAAGGTCCACTTGTAGTACTATTGTGGCATTACCTAAATCCATGATAATACTACAAACGGACCCTCTGGGATAGATCCTCCACCCTGTTGAATGCAGAACTTTCGGAGCTTTCCCTTTCCCCACCCTACACGCTGACTCCTCCCACTCCCCCTCTCCCACCTTAACCCGCATCGCTAACTAGCTTTGAGCCCAGGACCTCGTCCAGAAAGACCGTTCCAGCCTCCAGGGTTTAGGGTCTCATTTTAGGGGGGGGGGTTCTGCCTTAACAAAAGAAATATGCACAGCGAAGAAGTCCCCAGCGAGACGGCGTGAGACCTGTTGTACCGAAATAAAAAAAAGGTTTAGTTCTACTAGGAACCTAGGAGTAAAAAGGGGTGCCCTATTTGGTTTGAAAGGTCTGGGGAACCCAAAACTAAGACAGGGAACATATCGATTCAGGCACCCTTGTGTCGTGAGCCTGGGCCTCTCTTGCCCCTGTTTAGGGTTTAGGGTTTAGGGTTTAGGGTTTAGGGTTGAGGGTTTGTTAGGGGCTACGTGCAGGTGTTCTTGGGGAAGGGGTGTCGAAGAAAGGTGCATAAGCCAATGTCTTCTAATGCTGCTCCCTCAACTTTTAATTATGGGATTCCTACATAGTACCACATGGACCCTTAACCCTGAGCTCTAAACCCTCCTACACCACAGCTAGCCTAAACCCTAAACCCTATACACCAAGCACACAAGCCACCGAACCCGTGCACCAAACACAAGTCAAACGCCTCATCCGCTAACCCCCCCCCCCCCCCCAAATCTGAACTCCATAAACCCTAAAACGCCCAAACGACCCTACAAAGCCATGAGGGCGTTGCTGAAGAACTACTATTTGCTTAAGAACACCAAACAAAAAACGAAAGACAACAATCCCTTCATTAAGGAAGCACATGTGTTAACCATCTCTTGGGGTCTTGGTAGCCCAGTAACCACATTATGATTTTCTGGCACCCTTTTTTGGGGTTGGTTACTTTATAAGGGAACCTTGAACCAAAAAAAGGGACCCTAAACCCTAAACCCCAAACCCTTAAAAAAAGGGTTCCACTGGCCTACCAAGGGGTCCTTTAGCAAGTAGTAGCTTTGGGTTCAGCGAGCCCGTGTCTGCCAATAGCTGTGCTTGAACCCCGAACCGAACTAACCCTACAAACCCTAAACCCTAAACCCTGCAATCCCTGCGCTAACACTGCTCATTGCAGCGCAGCAATTGCATAGGGGCGCGCCTGAGTTGACATCGAGTTGTACTTGGAGAAGGCTTCCCAAGCACTCAGCGTGTAGGCCTTGTCCAGAAACGCACCCTAAACCCTAAACCCTAAACCTTAAACCCTAAACCCTAAACCCCAAGACCTGTAGGCCCCAGGCCCTATCAACCCTAAACCCTAAGGCCTAAACCTTACCAGCTGCAATCTGCAAGTGTCTGGAGCTCGGGAGCTGCTTAAAGCGAGCGAGGCAAGTACCATGCGGTCGGCAAGCCCCAAACCCTAAACCCTAAACCCTAGACCCTAAACCCCAAACCCAACTTGAACTCACGGGCCAGGCGCTGAGGTTCATTAGCCGGGCGCTCCAAACTGCGAAGTAGTGGCTGACGGTCTTTTGGACAAATCTTTACATAGTCATAGAGACATGGCTTAGGGTTTAGGGTTTAGGGTTTAGGGGTTAGGGTTTAGGGTTTAGGGTTTAGGGTTTAGGGTTTAGGGTTTAGGGTTTAGGGTTTAGGGTTTAGGGTTTAGGGTTTAGGGTTTAGGATTCAGGGTTCAGGGTTTAGGGTTGAGGGTTTCGGGTTTGCTCGACCCAGGAGTAACAGGAATAAAAGGGTACCCTTTTTGGTTTTAAGGGAATTATAAGGGAACCCCAAACCTAAAAAAGGAAAAAACGTGCCGACTTGTGGCCCTATATTCAGCATGTACATAGGCAAGTCTTTTTCCTTAAAACATATGAGAAAGAGAGAGAGGGAGAGAGAGAGAGAGAGAGAGAGAGTTGGGAAGAAGAGAGAGGGGGGAGGGGAGGGACACAGAGACACTTGGATTGGAGTCTTGTTCCTATCTTTCGGCGCTGTGCTTTCAGGTCCCACGCCGGATCCGGTTCCCCAGCGAGAAGCTGCCAAACTCCATAAGTCTACCGAGAGAGTATCCCAGTAAGTCACCAAACGAGGCAAGTCAACCCGAAAAACATTTGCGGGCATTCCCTTTTTTAGAACGTGCACAAGACCACCCCCACTCCGACATGGATGCACAAGTGCTCAAGGGGGTCGGCTCCTGTGGGTTTCGGGCCCCTTTTCTTGCGGTCATGTAGAGAGAACTCTGCCATGTTACAAGGGCATCAGGGGTGGGGGACCCTCTTTTTTTGGGGACTGTATGAAAATTCAGCCTCACTCCTCAACCCTAAACCCTAAACCCGAAATCCTAAACCCTAAACCCTAAACCCTAAACCCTAAACCCTAAACAGAAACATGGTGCTGTTGCCTTCGGCATGATGCCCAGAAGGTAGGCCACTAGGAAGTGCCCGGCCTGGTGGAGGGTGTGGGGTTCAGGGGCTTAGGGTCTCGGGTTCTGGGGGTTTGGGGGTTCAGGGTTTAGGGTTTAGGGTTTAGGGCATACGGGGGTTCAAAGTTTAGGGGCCGGGTTGGGTGGTTCATGCTTCGGACATTTCGGGTGTTCCAGCCTCATGCCTGGCCACGCGCTGGGGATACCTCAGCTGGGTGATATACGGGCCTGAGTAACTAGAATATATTTTTTTTTTTTTTTGGGGGGGGGGGGGGGTATTATACTAGAATTATAAAGGGACCAGAATATGGGAATCCTATTCGTATTTATTCCGGCCCCTATATGAGGTGGCCCTTGGATGCTTCTAGAAAGCTGCCTTTCGCACATTCCTGGATCTACATAGAGAAGCCTTGATAATTAGATTTGGGGGGGGGTACTATAGTATAATTGTTAAAGAGACCAAAAGGGAATACTACTAGTAACTGTTCCGACCCCCATATTACATAGGGTTTCCCTCGGGCCCCTATAAACCCGCAACCCCTACACCCAATACCACAACCCACAAGCCTAAAGGGCTTAGGGTTGAGGGTTTACCTTAGTAACCCAAAACCTACTCTTCTGTTGGTTTACCTAAGAATCCGATAAAGAGGTTAACAAAAAGAGGAGCCTACGAAAAATGTAGGTTTAGGGTTTAGGGTTTAGGGTTTAGGGTTTAGGGTTTAGGGTTTAGGGTTTAGGGTTTAGGGTTTAGGGTTTAGGGTTTAGGGTTTAGGGTTTAGGGTTTAGGGTTTAGGGTTTAGGGTTTAGGGTTTGGGGTTTAGGGTTCAGGGTTTCGGGTTGAGGGCCTTCACAGGCCAGGACACTCAGAGTTGAACCATCGTCCCAGGGAGTCGACAACTAACAGCTCGCCTTGGTCTGTGGTTCTGTGCTTTCTGCGGGGTCTCCCCCCCCCCCCCCCCCCCCCCCCCCCTAAAACCTAAAACCCCCCCCCCCCCCCCCCCCCCAAAAAAAAACCTACCCTACACCGAAACCCTAGCCCTAAAGCCCTAAGCCTAATCCCTGCGCCCTAAGCCCTAAACCCTCACCCCCCCCTCCCCACCCCCCCCCCCCCCCCCCCCCCCCCCCCCGAAACTACCATTAGCTTCAGAAACCGCCCAACCAAACAAATTGGATAAGAATCCCCTGTATTGCGCTTATCAGGGGGAATGTTTTGCTTTTCGAGGGCCCCCAAAACAGGTAGCCTACAAAAAGTCGGTGTTGGGTTCTTAAGGCAAGGCCCAAACTCCTAATGCCCAAAACCCCTACCCCCCAGACCCTTGCTAGGATGGCCCTTA